CCTATCCTTCTTTTTAAGCGCTCGTCTTTGCTCTTCCCTTTCTCTTACCTCTATCGCTCTAATCCATGTATGCCTATGCATACATCATAATACGCGCTCACAATACTTTCGATTCGTCACTTTTCCGTCGTAGAGTTCCCATTTTACAATTACGTGACTCAGCCTGGTGATAACGGAGAAAAGAGACAGATAGGACGTCGATATAAGTCACAGTTATGATTTCACAGATTCGAGACAGCTTGATAGCACGAACGGCCCCAGGCTTTCGCCCGTGCCCGCTAAGTGACTTTCATTACAAGCATTTAGCTTTCTGAAGTCTATGACAACAATTGTTTGGCATTGACAGCCGCGAATTTCGCGCCATTAAGCTACTTCGACTCGTTCGATTATGTTATCGACTCAATTTCATATTTATTTTCACATTTTTGCTTCGCGGTCCTTCTCTGTTCTTTCTCCGTGTATGACATTTCATTGTTATCCATATTTGACATCATCACTTATCACACACTGCCATGATGTTCATATCTGTCCGCTTCAACTGTCAAGAATTAACGCGATTGGCAAAGCGTAGTGACAGCAGGCCAATAGACAGCGGGGTCCTTTCCATAATGCAGTTTGCGCGCCAATTTCCGTACGTGCGATAATTGAGCCGAATAGTTTGGCTGAATATTCGGCTATTCGGCCATGCTCCTGGTTGAATATTCGGTATTCGGCCTGAGGCCGAATATACTATTCGTTACAACACTAATAATAATATATTAATTAGTTCATTTTTTGTGATGAAGATCCCGACTTTTCTGAAATTCTTCTTCTTCTTTTTTTTTTTGCAATAAAGTTGCAAAGTTTCATTTGTCGCTTTTTCCTTTCCTTATTCTTGTTGAGAATTCTTGGATACCTTCAGCCATAATTTCTTCCACTTTTCATTCGTGCATTTATCAGTTAATTCTTGCCAAGCGAAGCCAATATTGCCTATGGCATCCATGATGTTATATATTTTTTTCCAAAATTGCACCAAACAAACATAGATTTAAAGAAAGTACACCTTTTTGCCACTTTTTGCTGATTGGTTTGTGTTCATAAATAATCGTATTACTTACAAATCAATAAAATGCCGCAATAATTTAAATCAATGTAAATTTTGAGCTTTTTTAAGTCTTTGAGCAGACAGCATTATATCGAATCAGCATTAAGTGAGGCAGCGTTAAATGGGATCTTACTGTATATATATTTGTGCTTGTGTGATTATGGTCCTAGAGGGCACATCTGAAATGTGCCATGGATACCATGTTGTCAACCCCTGATCTAATAAGAATTGGTCTGTGAAATAGATTCTCCTGCTCTGGCTACTACAAGAATAATTAATTTCCTACAGATCATTGACTAAACTCAAGTATACAGAAGAATTTTAAAATATAAATTTTGGAAAAAAACATTAATTAGGCAAATTAGTCAAAAAACAATTGGTATACAAAGAAAAACATCTGAGATGTTAAAAAATATTGCACCAAGTAAAAATTAAGCACTGGAAATGAAAGTCAAATGTTTTTTTGGGAGTTTCTCTTTGGTAAAAGATACATTTGGCACTTTGAAGTGATACAATAAGCTTTTTATTATTGTCTCCAACACCTCACATTCTTCCTTTAGTAACATGGTAAAGCTTTCAAGAACCAATTTCAAAGACATTCTTTGCTTTCTCACACAATGAAACAAGTGTGACCATAGCATTCCAGACTGCTGCAAAAAATTTTCCACATAGAATCCACTGGTATATTATTCTCCATTCTACACTTAAGCTACACCAGTTGCTAAGCAGATTTGTTTCCTAAACATTTTTGTGATTTTTCTGAGTTTTTATCTTCATGTCCATAATGCCCGAATAAGGACCAGTTTCTCTTAAAAGACCTCCTGGAAGACACCTATTCCAAAGGGCAGATTTCCCTCTTGTTGCATTGCTAGTATCATAAACCAATCAGTCAATACAGTCACACATTGAAAAAATAATTTGCTTTTTGAGTGGCTCATATGAAACTTAGTTTCAATTTTTTCATATAGCTTATGAGATACTCAAAAATAATAATAAAATATAAAGGTTAAGACATTTTTTACAAATGCAAAGTCAGTCAAGTATTGAGTGATATTTCATAATGTTTGGTTAGGCTTGGTTTTGATTTTACAGTAGAGCGTCGATTTTCCGAATCAATTGGGGACTGGGGTTGTCCGGATAACTGATTTACGTATGAAAAAATAGTTTAACGTATCCGATGTCAAAATTTTTATCTGTTGCGTGTCGCTTTGCGTTGAATTTTCGTCGATGTTAAGCCTAACAAAGACTATTGTATCATTAAAAATTATTTTTTTTATTTTGTACAAACAAAATAAATATATTGAAAAATATAAAAATAATAAAAAATTATACTTCAGATGTTAATTTAGTATCAAAAACGTAAAATATTTGAGTAGCCCAAGACATAGCCAAAGATTGAAGCGCCACAGCACTGGCGAAAATTTAAATTTGCCGACTGGAATTCTTTCGGATGATTGACTTTCGGAAAATCGACGCTCTACTATATTTGGTTATGATGAGTTGGCAATGCAACACATAGATGATCTGCTGAGGGAGATGTCTCCCAGGAAGACTTTTAAGGGAAACTGACCCCTATTTTCATGTTACAAATGTGAAGGAAACCAGAAAACTCCACATGGGTAGCTCATTTGCCAGGCACAAACCCACGGTCAACTACCAGTGTTCAATAGTTCCACTCAGCTACAGAGGAGGTTTTTGATTGGGTAATAGCAAAACATACCAAGCTCTACAAACATATAAAAAGTACAGCTCTCTAAGCTATGTAAATATATAAATTAATAAAAAGCTCATTTCAAAAAGTATAGTGCATATTACATGAAATATGCATAAAATTTTCATGTGAAATGCCTACATAGAAAAATATCTTTTTGATATCTACATTTATCAAAGTGTCCATTTTCTAAGAAATTTCATTAGATTATAAATTAAAAAGTATTTTTCATACTTTACATTTTACCAATAGTAAAATTCAAGGTTGGAGTTGCCAGAATTGAACAAATTTTACCAACTCCACCATAAAACATCCAACTCCACAACATTGATTATAACTGATAAAACTCATACAGTATAAATACTGTCATGTAGCAAAATTACCACAGAACTAGCCCATCTTATCATCCTATTTCACCTAAAATAGCTCAGGTAGTATTGATCAAGTGCAATCTTTCATCATGCTGCCTACACTTTATTTTTTTGTTAACCTGAGTGTCATCCTTTCCATCCAGACCCATACCTTCAAAAAAGCATGTCAAGGAAAATTAATACCAGGAATCATGGACCAGCCATCACTTAGGCCAAGATCATGTGATATTGTAACAAGACAACTGATGAATGAACATGGAAACTTCTCACTATTACATTTACTGTATTAATAAACACAATAAATGTAATATTTACAATTGTTATAAATTATCTCATATATCAAACTACTGGATTGTATTAAGTTATATTATGGTTACATTTAATAATTAATATAGAGTAATTTTGCCTAGAGGTAGGTAATTAAGTCACCATGTCATATAAATTTAATAATTATAAATAAATTAATATTTAATATATCACTTAACTTATATATTTTTGTAAATTTTTGAAGAAACTTACATAATAGATTAATAGAACATTAAATACAATTTTAATTATAAAAACTTACATTTTCAGTTACCATTATCTGCTCTAGAAGGTTTGAAGATTCAACATAATTCTGTACATAATCCAGATGTGGTTCTTTAATATTTATGTAGGAATTCTGCTGTGGAATAGTAGATGAAACAGAAGTTTGCATTTCACATGTTTCGTCATTATGAGATTGGCACAAAGGAACTTGATCTTCTGTTGAATTAGAAACTGAAATTGGTTTTGGAGAATTAATATTTGTTTCAGGTAATATTTCTTCAGTGGTTTCAGTAGAACATTCTTGCCTCATTTTAGAAGATAAATGTTCATTTTCACTAATAACATTAGAATCATCTGAAGAGCGTCTTTTTATTTTACTTCTTTTCTTTTTATTAATTGAAGAAAATGTTACGTTATGCTGATCATTTTCCTCAGGAGTAGAATGTATTGAATTAATGAACTGTGACGTCGAAACATCTTTTTGAGTTTTCTTTCCATTTATAATATTTCTATTTTCATCTGCAACTTCTGCCAATCCTTTAACATTAAGAATTTCTGCTGTTTTTAACAATCCAGATAATTGATGGTGTGAAACACTCACTTCTCCTTTATAGATAAAATCTACTACAGCTTTTAGCTCTGTAAATTTCATATCTTTCATTATAACAATGGGATGTTTACATGGATTTTCTAGAAACAAATTTTGGAAAAATGGACTACAGGCAGAAAGAATGATTTTATGAGCCTTTAAAGTGAAACCTTCACATGCTAAAGTAACATCCACAAAAGCTTCATTTGACAGAAGCTGATCAAGAACAGTTACCATATTTGATTGATGACTGTTCCATTTTAGACAAAACTGTTGGGTGCCCATGTTAAATGTTGATATATAAGTGAATAATACCTATAAAAATATTTATAATGATGATTAAAAATTATATTACAATACATTAAGATTTTAAATGTTAAATAATTTAAAAAAAAATAATTTCAAACAAAAAGTTCATTGTTTGCATTTGGAATAACCATATTTTACTAAAATAAACTCAATCACTGATTGATTTTATAAAATTTGTTTAATAGTTAATTTTTTTAATAGACAACAAATACTAACATATTATAATACTTAGCAGTATCTAAAAAAGTTTTATTTAGTTAATGAATTGTTAATAAGTTAGAAAATAACCAAGTTTGCTAATGAATATTAGTCATTCTTTTTTTGATACATAGAATTCCTAAACTGTTTTATTTGAAAATTATACAAATTATAGTTTTTAAGGTGAGACACTGATAATATGAAATCCCAATGAATATTCTAATTTTGAAAATATCTAATTCTCAAATGTTGTATGTAAATTAGAACTGTTTATACATAATGGCAGAAATCAAGTGGATGGTCTACAGTTCCTTTGACATTTTTACTCCTATGGACATGGTGTACAGTTCTGATAAGGTTCTAATTGCTTCATTCAGAACTGCATTTGTACCTAATTTGAAACCATTCATTAAAAGCAAACAGTTTAAAATTATCTGTTATTTTACTTCTAATTTGCCTAAACTACATAAAGCAGACAATTTTTGGAAAGCTTACATATTATATTTGCTATTTCTGATTTATATAAGCATACTTGCATATATAAATCAGAAATAGCAAATATAATGAACCTTTAAAATGGGGAATAGCTGGTAACATACATTGGTAGAAAAATGCTGACTGCATAAAAATTCTTTATTAACATTGATATTGCACAATGTTTATATTAAGTACTTGTAATAATCAAAATTTAATGTTATTTCTACATAAGATATCTTATAAAGCTATTGCTATAAACACTGTCAAGAGTATGGCAATAGCTTTATACTCTTTAACATCACAATTTAAGAAAGGTCAAATATTTTACGGGACATATCATAAGTCACACATTATAAATCTAGGTATACTAGATTTATAATGTGTTCCATCTTGATGTATCATGAATCTTGATATTGCATGATGAGTGCCTCCTATTATATGCCTTTGTGCAATGTTTTGCTTTGTTAATAATTTCTTTTGGTACAGTACAATGTACTCATACGGTTGCTATCAATCAATTTATTGACTTTCACTGCAATTAATAAGGGCAATAATTCCTATCTCTGTCTTTTTCTTACCACACTGAATAGCTTTTCCTTTTATCACATAGCAATGCAGGGGAGGCTCTGCAATGCTGTGTGGTAAAACCATCATCAGCCTTACTATTTTACAAAGATTTTTGATCTTTGTAAAGTAGAAAGACCATTCTTTCTAGAGAAAATTCATACCATACAGCCCGTACATTCTTAAGTGACAAATCAGATGCTTCTTATTTTGAGCAGAGAAACTTTAGCACCTTTCAATAATTTGGTATAACCATAAAAGTAACTCGTATGGCTGACAAGTCAGCCATACGAGTTACTTTTATGAGTCAGCCATAATTGATGGCACTTATATTGTTAGACTTGAAGACGCAATTTATCTCATCTGCCATTTAAAATTATCACATTTGAGCTAAAATTCTCATATATAATATATATATATCAATCTTAGTTCTTTCCCAATTGAAGGAATATGTGAATAATGTTCTGGTTTGCTTCAGTTGTTCATAATAAAATACAAATCATCTTTGGCATATATACCAGTGTTAGACTCATTAAATGAAGTTTTTATGAGGGAAAGCAGCCTATTCACTGACAGAGTATACAAAATACTAGTCAACACCAAATGCTGATGGTTGGAAACTATATATATATATATATATGAATGTTCTATTCAAATCACTCAAAGATTAGTTACTATATATATAAATAAGACAAATTTTTATTTAAAACATTGAAAAATGATCGATGTCCAAATAAAATAAATTCATCAATTGCTTAAATCAGACTTTTGTACAAGCTAACTTTAAGTAATTTGTCTGCATATAAATAGTAGGTAATTCAGTTTACCTAAAAAATTTCGCAGATTTTTCTATCTTTGGAAAGCAATGGTCAGAACAAACTTTTCGTACTATTTGATATTTATACGTTGTTCTTGTTCATATACGCTCTTTAATGATTTTATGAAATCGATTTTTCATTTTGACAGCGCAAATTAAAATTTAAAACATGAGCAGACCGATCATTTGACAGAAGCTGATCAAGAACAGTTACCATATTNTTACTATATATTATTTTTAGTTTTTATTGTATATTTTTTATATATTCATATAATATTATAGTGATTTTATTTTTAGAATCATTAACTTATTTTTAAAATTTTTCATATAGGGATCCTCCATAAATGATGCCACGCTATTTTTGGTGAATTTTAACCCACTCTTTCCCAATTGTAACATGTCACATTTTTCAAACCGCTCTTTAAAATGATGTCAAATGAGTCGCGACCCTCCTTTTTTTAAAAGAAAAAAAAATAAGTACAATAAGAGAAGTGGAATTCAGTTTAAGATTTATTAACAGTGTAAATTCAATATTTTGTTTCATTTCCATATAATAGTTAAGTGTTCTTTTATTGAAACTATACAAAGAGGTGCAACGTTGGTTACTGTTGTACGAACACGTTCGGGGAGATTTTCATGTCAATAAATTCTTTGTCAATTCATCTTCGGCAGAGTCACGTACGATCTTTATTCTCTATCTTCTTGCTGCAACCTATACCGGTTCTTTTCAACCGACTAGAGCTTGGCCTTGAAAATTCGCAGTATACCATTGAGAATGGTTGTGCAGATTTTTCAAGGAGGCATAATATAATCCACAATTGCTACGTGTCCGATTGTGGTAAATAATATTGACGTGCTATTGTTGTCATATCAAAACCAACAGTTCTACAGAAAGAAACGTTCCTTCTTCCAAACCTTCCCAAGTTTTTTCTACCGGATTTGTTTAATTAATCTAAATTTTTATCAAAAAATTGTATAATTTTATCAAAATGTATAATCTTTAAAAATAGTTTATTTTTCTAATTTTACTGTGACATTGAAATTCTTTATTTTGATTATTTGGTTTTTGTATTATTAGAAAATTAATGTAAATATAATAACGATGTAATAAGTAATTACAATATCATAGCAAATGGACAATTTTCTGTGTAACAATGGCGCAAGAGAACGATTCCTTTAAACCCTTAGTATTTTGTAAGACTTTCTCTTGCCTAAGTATATACAGCGATATGACAATTACATGTAGCTATCCCGAGACAGAGTTTCCCAAAAAATGTTGCAATTGCTGCTCCAGTTCCCTCATACTTGAAGATGGCCGAAGCCGGAATCCTATTTAGTCTCATAAATGCTCGATGGCTAAAGTCCGGGTGGGCCATGGAAATTTAGCAACGTAATGAAGATATTTCTATGAAACTCTAGCTATGTGGCTGAGCATTAGCTTACTGGAAAATGGCTGTTTGTAGTCCTGCCATGAAAGGCAACACACAAAGACACAAGATTTCCTAATCGCGCTGCTGTGCTATCAATGTCGCTATACTATTGCTAAGGACGACTGGATGGCTGAGCAGTTAATGTGTCGGTCTAATGCTCTGAAGGACCCGAAAACTGATCCGGAAGAGTCGAAAAATCCTAGGAATTTTTCGGGGACTGCCCGAATTTCTCGGGTCCCGTCCCTTACTGTTACGTTAAGATCTGGTAACATCAGAGAGAGAGGGACATGCAAGACAGACGGCCCTGACTAATGTACAAGTGTGGAGATCGCCCGGCCCAAGTAGGACCCCGAATAAAGCAATCAGAGTAAGTGTCTGTATTCCTGTCTCGCGGGTATCTTAAGTGCATCACGAAGGGCGTATAAACACTAAGTAAACCACAGCCAACCTATTGTCACTTGTGCCTGTATGCCTATGGGCAAAAAGGGCAATTGCCTGAGGCTCCCACAAACAAATCTTTTATAAACTCATTATTGTAGTAAGAATGTCGAAATTTAAATTTGGTGCCATATCGGGACCCTAGATTGCCGGTGTGCTGAGGCACAGAACTTAACTCTCCAAGATTGCGTTAAAAAGTAAACAAAGATACCGGAGGATTCCCCTGAAAAATTTCCCCGAAGAGAAATGTCTGAAGTCAACATTCTACCGATACATGGGGCCCCGTAATTCAAATTTTCTTCACGTTAATAACACCTAAATATTGGCCAGTTTCTTATATGTCCTCCCGGGAGGCATCCTCTGGGATGATCGCCAATGTGTTACAAATAAACCAATCTTCTGATCCAACTCAATTTACATAAGCCTTTCCGAGATTTATATTATTTGTTAAAATGTGAAAAGTAAATGTTTTGAGTAAACATATGAAGCAGTGACGATCAAACATAAATACTGAAGAAATAAGTCGAACTTTCAAATATAGTACTTTGGTCCAATTTTTATTTATTGGATCAAGATGAATGAGTTCAAAGAATTCTTTATTAATATACAAATATTTATTTTTAAAAATGTTGCTTTTCAAGAACTAGTCACAAAGTTTGTAACATTGACTATGTTCAGTAGATCAGTTCTAATTGAAGAGAAGTTTGGTAGCAGTATTGCAGATACATAATGACAATCAGTGCCGTAACTAGCCATTCCTGTGCACTGTGCATTTAGGCCTTTTAATTAATTAGGTTTGGGAAAATAATAAAACAAATATATGCATTTTGGGTCCCCTTCCAAGTGGACCCTATGTGGGTGCACCTGTTGCACCTGCCTAGTTACGGCACTGACGACAATGAATTACAGTACGAGTTGATGTGAATGGTCTAATTAAATCAATTATAGCGTAGAGATTGAACTTCAATGATGAATGGAAGAGATGTGAAGATTAAATATACGCAGGGTTGTCAAAAGTTTAGTATGCGGTCCAACGTAGCTTTAGCTTTTCTCTCTCTCTCTTTTTTTTAAATGTTTTTGAA